CTCCCCCACTTGCGCTCTGTCTCTCTCTCTCAAAAATAAATAAAAAAAAAAGATGGATACTTACATACACTGCTGATGGAAATATAAAAATATAAATGATAATCTCCTGGGAAACAACAATGTATGTTAATAGTTTTATAACTTGATTATCCAATGATTTTATTCATCATCGAGTGAAGAATTGTCATCATCAAATAATCCAATATTAGAGAAAATGCTTATCAAACTGCATGACAATACAAGGGAAAACTTACATGTTTATAAAGGAGATATAATACTGGATATGTACAACTATGTACAAAATTATTAAAGCATCAGAAGAATATATATTAAAGTAGTAATTTATCCTGAACAGAATTAAATCTTTTTCTGTGTAATTTCCAAATTTCTTAAAACTAGTATGCATTATTTTTATAATTAGAAAGCAAAAAGGAATATCTATTAATGTATCCATCTCTTCATTTAGACTAGATATTCCCTTAAAAAAAGGAAAAGACTATCTCTTTTCCCTTCATATCCTCAGTATCTGTAGTGTGCCTTAGAACAGTAGGCTTTTAAAAGCCAACTTGTGGAATGAATTAATCTTTAACACCTGCTTTAAGGACTAGTTAGTGGCACACTGCAATCCCTCTCTCCAGAAGTACCAACTTCTACTGCTAGAAGTTGGCATCCATTTAAAAATTAATTTTGAAAAGAAGAACCATACTTTAGTTCTTTCAATGATCAACTGTGAACAATGTTTTAGTCTAAGTAAAACAAATAATCTCTGTAAGATGATGGCTAACTATGTGACAACTTCCAACACAGCCTTTCCTTTTCCTTCATTCCGAGACATGGTAAAACCAAAATGGAGCCGAAATACAGGTAGCAACGGTCAAGCAGCAAGCACAGAGGGAATGGCCAAAGATTTCTTTTAGTCTAAGATCTTCAAAACTGTGTCTCGCCATTCTAAGATGAGAGTTTATACACATTTTATTAATTATGAATGCTACTACAAATGGATGAGATGAAGTTTTCTAAAATATTCTGTTTAAAGAAAATTCATTGTTCAGAAAGAAGATTTATGTATTGTTTAACCCGCCCGGTTTAGAAGTTTTATCAGCATGTAACCAAGCACAAGATAAGTCTCTGAGGATGATAAATCATTAAAATAATAAAGTAATCATTTTATTATTAAAATGGAGGAAAATTTACTTCATTTCTTAGGTAGCTTAACAGCATTTAAAGCTTCAGATAAATTCTACTAAACACATTAATACTATGAAAACTCACTTGATATCACAAATTTTGACTATTTCTTACCTGGCACAACACAGCTGTTACTTTCACAATGAACTATGCCCATACCCATAAATTCACATTTGCTCTAATACCACTTATAACAGACTACTTTTTCTGTTTCACTAAGATATGGCTCTCATGACCCTTTTTCTACTCACACAATTATATCTCCAAACTTTAAGCCAAAACATAAACTTTAAAAAAAAATTTTTTTTAATGTTTATTTATTTTTGAGAGAAAGAGAAACAGAGCATGAACAGACGAGGATCAGAGAGATAGGGAGACAAAGAACCAGAAGCAGGCTCCAGGCTCCGAGCTGTCAGCGCAGAGCCTGACGCGGCGCTCGAGCTCACAAACCACGAGATCATGACCTGAGCTGAAGTAGGACACTTAATCGACTGAGCCACCCAGGAGCCCCATAAACCTTTTTTGATTGAATCTTTTTTGTTTTAAAGGTCTTATGGTCAACAATCTGGGATATTTTTATTCACTTGAGGGGTTATAGGTGATCAACTCCTGGATGCCCCCATAATCATAACAAAAAGTACTTATTAAACAAGATGTGTATAAAGAACATTCATGACTAATTCTAGGAGAACTGATATACAATGCAGAACTCACCTGAGTATAGAAGCCACTAGCTGCCTCTAGGAACAGAGATAGGTTTGCCTGAACTTCACTCCGATTCGGGTTTGCTCGATTCTTTGCCTGGCCTTGTAGTGTTGTGATCTGATTCTTAAAGGCATGATTCCAGCTGAAAACAAAATGTAATTCTATTTGGTATAGCAGTGACTCACTGGGCAGACACTGGTCCCCCTGAGAACAAGAAAGAACTGTTTGTTATAATTATAACACACTAGACAGTAAACCTGCATTAAAGTTACTCACTTATTTAAATAACTTTATGCTCCTCTTTGAGCAAGACCAGACATGCAATAGAATCCAACTGACCTTAGTAAACACTTACCAAATGTTCGAATAATCAGACTGTGGCTTCAGTTATTAATCTTTTAGAACTACTATAGTTAAAGCCTATTTAGGAATCCCAGTACAAAACAAGAACTACAGTCGCAAGACCAAAGTAAAAGTAAGCTATCAACAAATTGCCATATACACTGTGCCAAGAAATGACTGAGTATATCCTTATTAAGTGACAGGTATAAGGGGAAAATTTCTTTTTCGATATTAAGCCATATCTCTTATTTCCATAAAATCTATTTCCCACAGCACTCTGTTCTAATTCTTTTTAATGCTTTCTTTATTTCTCTTGGGGTTAATGTTTTCTTTACAGCTTGAAATATAAGTTCATTTTTTGATATTTCAATTTTGGCTATTTAAAATAGGAAAAAACACAGTGCTGAAATACGGCATATCAAAATTCTATTATAAAATGTTTTTCTTGAATCAAGCTGTGTAAAGAATCATTTTAGATTCAGTTAGGGTGAAATACAGTCATTCCTTAACTTGGAAACCACAGTGGGGGTGGGGAAAACAGAACTAGGATGGAGGGAGATTATTACTGGCTTGATTAAAGGAAGCAAACACAGATGAAAGGTCTACAACCTACCTGGAAAGTACCTAATTCTTTATCAATGTCAACTTTTGAGACACTAGAGCACTTGCGTTTTTAATGCTTCATGAGGACAATCGCTCCCTCAGTATTTTTGATGACATTTTATCCTTGCCTCTAATATCATAGATATGGATTCTGAGTGGCTGTGATTAAGCTCTTTTATTACTAGAACTCCTAAAAATATAAAGTATCTAAGAAAGGTGAACAATATAGGAAAAACTAATCTTCACCACAACTTAGGGTACTAGGCATTACTAAATAGAATATTCTTAACTGATTCTTAATATTTCATCAGGCTAATATCCTTGATCCAATTTATAAGGCAAGGCCCTCCACAAAAGGCATTTATTTACTCACTTGGGAATCTGGTCATCTGTCATTTCACCTCTCATAGAAAGAACAAGTGGAATAGCCTAAATATACAAAATCTTTCTTTAGTTTTATTAGGGGTGGGGGGGAAGGAAATACCTACTTATTTTATAAAAGGAAGAAGTTCCTTACAATGCAAACACATTTTCCTTTGGGAGAAATTTATAGAATCACATTCACCAAAGAAGATTTATCTAAAGTTTACTGTTGAATTTCTTTTTTAGTCATGGTTTAAATGCAGGACTGAACACATACAGAGAATCCAAACACTGTCTCTTAGTACTTGAAATATACATAGATTTGTTTTTATGATATACCCCAAAGACCTGAATAAGACTCAACTTCAAGCATTCTCCTCTTGCTGCCTAAGACTATCTGAAGTAATAACAATGGTCAAATATTCTGTTCAAAAAAAATCACAAGTACTAGAATTTTTTGTTTTCATTGAAAGACCTTACTCTGAGACAGGTTAAGAAGAAACAACCAAATTGTTTTTTATTCTAAAGTCTTGGTGAGACTCTTGATCTTACAGGGACATCCCAAATGATAGTACTTACAGATCCTGTTCTACTTTCTTGTCTAAAGCGTATTCCAAATCAGTAACTAGCATTTTCTGGTACAGGTCCTGCAGAGCCTGCCTGGATGTCCAGACCTCAGCTGGACCCAGCTTAGAATCTGAGTAACAAAACAAACAAACAAACAAACAGCAGATATATAGAAAAACAGAGTTAAAACCATTATACTACACCAATGACTCCTTCCCTCTCCACTCCCCAAAGCAAAAACCTGCTTCATACCATAGATTGCTGCAGAAGTTTTATACTACTACATTTTAAAACGACTCTCACCTTCAGGCTAATGACTGAATCTGGTTCAAAATGCTTGTGTATTTGTCTTTTAGCTTTGAAATAACACCATGAAAAAGGCTAAAAAACAAAAAAAAACCCGAATGGTGCACCCTTTGCTTTAGTTTGGATTTCTACGTATTCATATCACAGGAAGCCATATGCCACAAAAGTCCCCCCATTTGAAATGATGAACTGCCAAGATGGTCTGTTTACTCTCATAAGTGTATCTCTGTCCAGAGCAGCTTTTTTCTTTTTATTCTGAATCATTCTCAACTGTCCTTACAGAATCTTCACGTCTGTTCACAATCCAGCAGCTGTTTGCGCATTCTGCTGTTATTCCTACTCTATATAATGTCAACCCGATAAAGCCATAACAGTAAGGGTTATTTTAATGATTGATAAATTGCTTGCCAAGAAACTTTTGTGAGCAATCCATACTTGCCATTTAACATAAATGAGAATTTGCAGCACATGATGATTAAGCTGCTCAAGAGGCCAAATGAGAGATTGGGTGAAAGATGAAATCAGGAAGTCAGGCTATGACAAAATGTAATACTCAGTTGGGGCCATACTGTCTGCCAGAGTCCTGAAAGACACATTAGCCTTTCTGATTACTAGGCTTATGAGTGCAATAACTGACAGTGATCTGCCCCAATAGAAGAACTTAATAAAAGACTTTTCAATTAGGCTTCTGATTACATTTGATATTTTACTGGGACACAATGGCATAATCTTTACTCTTCTCTAGGTCTGCAAATAAAATCTCCTGAGTTAATCCTCACAAGAGTTTGTGACTAAAAACAAAACAAAACAAAACAAAACAAAACAAAACAAAACAAAACAAAACAAGATGTATCAGCTTCTTGGTCCCTTATTAGGTTTTAGGGCTAAATAGATTTATAGATTTATTCAGTCTTGTTTCAATTCATCGATGGCAAGGAAAGGATTATAAGGGATTACTAACTCTGTTTTATCAGACAGATTACCATTTAAATTACTTCATATCTTAATGTTTCTAGGCAGCCAAATGTCCCCTATAAAAGCCAAACCCTAACCCTACTTCCTGAGGGTATTCAATACTTAAGAAAAAGTAAAAGGTATAGTCAGCCTAACATCACTCCATGCACAATTTTGGTCACATAATGGAGATTATGCCTACCATGACAAAAGCATAATATAGTGCCTCAGAGCTGACACCAATATCCGTAGTAAGGAAGATGACGACAGTTATGTTAATAATGGGGAAGAACTGAGGTGCTATACTAAGTATACCTGTAAAAAGTGTTTTTAGAATTTTTCTTTTTATCTTAAGAAGATGACGATGGTATTACCACATTCTTAAAACATTAGCATCAACATTAACACTGGCCTGCAATGTTGAGAAAAAGACATCTAAAGAGTCTTAATTTCCTCTTGATTGTAAATTCTGGCCAGAATGCTGGTTTTAACAGTTTAACTCTTTGTGGATTTCACTGCAGAACTAAAGTCCTCAAAAATTAGAATGAGATTCATTATCACATTATCTCTTTTTATACTTTAGAACAGCATATGCTGCTATAGAGAGCATACTGATCACTACATAGTGCCATATATTTCCTAATTTTGGAGTTAAAATCATCTGCTCCTTCTAGGGACTTTCAGTTCTTCTTTCAAAAACACCCTGGCTATTCAAAACAAAAAAAGGGAGAAAAGAAAGGTGGCAAGGCAGTTCAGTCAATTTCAAGGACTTTTAGTACAGTTTTCCTACAAATATTTTTTCTCAAGGTTTACTTACTATTCAAGTTTGGAGAATTATCAACAGGAAGACATGAACTTAATACCATAAGGTATTTTTATTTATATGGTATATGAATTCTTTCTTCTATGTCTTAAATTGATGACAAATAGTTCATAAAAATTAAATGGTTATATGCATTAAATTAGGTAATATTCAATACAATGTAGCACAGATTATATAAAATTCTTAACCATCTAAGTAAGAATTCAAAGTTCAGGGGCGCCTGGATGGCTCAGTTGGTAAGTGTCTTGATTTCAGCTCAGGTCATCATCTCATGGTTCATGGGTTCAAGCCCCACACTGGGGGAGCTGTCAGCACAGAGACTGCTTAAGATTCTCTCTCTTCTTCTCTCACTGCCCCTTTCCTGCTGGCTCACATGTGCGTGTTCCCTCCTTCTCTCAAAATAAATACATAAACATAAAAAAAAAAAAAAAAAGAATTCAAAGTTCAAAAACAGTAATTATTTAAAGCAAATTTTAAGTCATCATCCCTTTTGGCAACTAGGACAGTGCAACAAGTAATATAGGAAAGATGAGACCCTTCCCTTAATTCCGTTAATGGTATATAAAATAAGCTGTGAAAACCAAATGAGCCAGCCAGTACCTGTCATGTCAGCCTTCAGGACTTCTGCCTGCCTAAAAAAAAGGGAAAAAAGAACATCAGTTAGAAACAAACTAGGCCTACTCAACATAAGTAACACTAAAACCTAAAAGTTAGGTGAAATCATATACTACATCAAGATGTATAGCACCTCTATTTGTGACATTGCAAATAGTGTCCCTGCTTTAATATCCAGGGTAGCACTAGGTTTTGGCAAACTGATGCCATAACTTAAAAGTATACAGGGTCACCATGAATTCTATGAGCTCACATTCTTGTGGTTTTCCAAATGTATTTAAGATAATATTAAATGATACTCATTAAACCAAAAATTTTCCCTCAATGCAGCCAGGAAATCCTATGTTTCTCAATTCACTAACCACTGTAACTATCTCAAAATTCCCACTTTCCTCAGACATGGATTTTGCCTCCTTCCTGAGGCCGACCCCTTTCAGTAAAGGCCAGCAGCCCCATCTCAGGAAAAACAATGCCCAGTTACTAAACATTACGTTCACACAACCCTCTTCTTTCTCTCTCTTGTTAAAACACAAGAGGCGCTGCATCTCTTATTTAAGACCAGTAATTCCACTTGAGTAGGCTCTTTCTAGACTTTAATAAGAACTTCTGCTCCCTTAATTACCCCCTTCCTCCTTCAATAATTTTGGAACTTCTCTCTATATTGGATCCTTCCTTTTCTTCAGTATTTTAAACACGCTCAAGTCTGTCACAGTTCTAAAATCTTCTGTCCTGCATTCTCCTCCTCTGGCTGTGGCTTCTTTCCTCTCTCAAATTTTTCAAGAGTTGCCTGTAATCAAGAGGTCCAAAACTGAACTCATGACCCATTCCCACCCCCATTCCTGGTTCTCTTTCTAGTGTTTTTTGCCCTACCAAATGTATCACTGCTTTCCAATTGTGAAAGGCAGGTACCTCAAAGTCACCTGTGACAACTTTCTCCCAAATCCCTGGTAATCTATCAACTCCAGAGAATTCTACCAACTAAATGTATCTTGAATGTGTGGATTTCCCTTTACTTCCTCTTCATCCACTCACATTCAAGTTATGAACCATCTCTTGCTGGGACTAATGCAAAGCCACCAAACTGTTTTCTCCATTTCACTCTTGCCCTATTTCATTCTGTTCTCCCACTGCTGTCTGGTGGATCTTGTCAAAATGCAAATTCTGGGGCGCCTGGGTGGCGCAGTCGGTTAAGTGTCCGACTTCAGCCAGGTCACGATCTCGCGGTCCGTGAGTTCGAGCCCCGCGTCGGGCTCTGGGCTGATGGCTCAGAGCCTGGAGCCTGTTTCCGATTCTGTGTCTCCCTCTCTCTCTGCCCCTCCCCTGTTCATGCTCTGTCTCTCTCTGTCCCAAAAATAAATAAACGTTGAAAAAAAAAAAAAATTCAAAATGCAAATTCTGACCATACCAACAGTCCCATTCAAAAGCTTTAATGATTTCCCCACTGCTCTTAGAGTAAAAACTAAAATCTTTACTAAAGTGTCCCACAAAGTTCTCTGCACTCCAAAAATTAGAGTCTGCACACTGCTTCTACCATTATTCTCTCTTTTCCTTGATCTCTGTGCTCTAGTTACCGGATTTCTGGTTTCTCCAATGTGCTCTGCTCCCTTCATACACAGCACCTTTGTAAAGACGAGTCCCTTTGCTAGGAATACCTCTTCCCCTTTTGTCTGGTTAATTATTACTCATACTTTGTCTCAGAAACATAACTTTCTCAAGAAATCTTACTTAGATGAAGGATATTCCTATTTTATACTCTCAAAGCACTTATTTTTTTCTACATAGTAGATATCACAGATTTTAAGAATGCTCACCGTCACAACCCCTATGCCTATTAGCACAGCACCTAGCAATCAGTAGGCATTCAATAAAGATCTTTTAAGTGAAGAAAGGAAAAAGGATAAATCATGTTCATATATTCTAAAAAGTTATGTATATAAACTAATGAGATTTCCATTTCTAAAAACAAACTTGAACATAAAAGCTAGAGAATACACAGAGGTTCTAAAATTTTTACTGTAAATATTAGGTATTTAATATCAGCTGTGAGTTTTAGTTTCATCAAAACATAATGTGAACCTTTTCATTTTCTTAGCTTTTAAAAAATATTTATTTTTTCTAAATTAAGTTTTCAGACAGAATCATAACTGGGTGTTATACAGGTAACCACAAGCCATATAGGAACTATCAGTATAAATGAATAATAAAAATAAATAGCTAAACTTCATCCTCAACTGTAACATCACATCAAATCCCATTATTCATATTACCTAGCTCCACTGTTTACTTTGGGTGTTAAACTTTTGCAACTAAAAAAACAAACTACGTTCACAAGGCTTGTTAGCTTATACCATTAAAACCTAAGATTATAAAATGTAATAAAAA